CAGTGAATTGAATTCACAACATATGAGTCAATCAGGTCTGGCTGTGGTGAGGAAGAAGCGTGTAAATGCACAGGTTTTGTGGTTGCGACCTCATCTCACTTGCAAGTTTCTTAATTTATTTATCTTTTTGCTGTATTTTCTTTGGTATAAAATTGAATACAACAACAAACCCAGTGTAATCCCACGAGTAGGGTCTGGGGAGGGTAGCGTGTACGCATACCTTACCCCTACCTTAAGAAGGTAGAGAGGCTGTTTCCGATAGACTCTCGGCTCAAGAAAAGATACAAAAAGAATCAGTAGCAACAAACAGGAACATCAGCAAGATTACAAGAAAATCGAAGCGAAAGAAACATGCAGCAATAGAAAATCTCGAATAAGCTCTCCTGGACCACATAGAAAAGATACTTCTATCAGTGAAATGAATTCACAACATATGAGTCAATCAGGTCTGGCTGTGGTGAGGAAGAAGCGTGTAAATGCACATGTTTTGTGGTTGCAACCTCATCTCACTTACAAGTTTCTTAATTTATTTATCTTTTTGTTGTATTTTCTTTGGTATGAAATTAAATACAACAACAAACCCAGTGTAATCCCACGAGTAGGGTCTGGGGTACCCCTACCTTGATAAGGTAGAGACGCTGTTTCCGATAGACCCTCGGCTCAAGGAAAGATGCAAAAAGAATCCGTAGCAACAAACAGTAGCATCAACAAGATTACAAGAAAATCAAAGTGAAAGAAACATGCAGTAATAGAAAATCTCGAAAGATAAAAGTACAAGACTAATCTTAATATTACTGGTATGAACAAGGAAAACACACGATTACCTGTTAACTTTTTACCTTTATTCTCGACCTCCACACCTTACTATCGAGGGTCATGTCCTCGATAAGCTCAAGCAGCGCCATGTCCTGCCTAATCACCTCTTCCCAATGCTTCTTTGGCCTACCTCTACCTCTCCTCAAACCCACCAAGGTAAACCTCTCACACCTTCTCACTGGGGCATTAGTGCCTCTCATCACTTCCCGCATCTTGTCCTCCCTAGGGTTCACGTCCACCTTGTCCCGAATAATTTCATTCCTAATCTTTTCTAACTTGGTATGTTCACATCCATCTTAGTGTCTCATTTCTGCTACCTTCATTTTCTGGACATGAGAGTTCTTGACTGGCTAACACTTAGCCTTATAAAACATAGTCGGTCTCACCACCACTTTGTAAAACTTACTTTAAGTTATTGTGGAACATTCTTATCGCACAAAATACCGAATGTGAACCTCCACTTCATTCACCCCGCTCCAATACAATGAGTAACATCCTTGTCAATCTCTCCATTATTTTTGGATTACTGACCCAAGGTACTTGAAGATTGAAACTTCCTCTCTTGGGATGATTTGTGTATCAAGTCTTGCGTCCACGTTAGGTTCATGAGTCACATAACTGAACTTGCACTCCAAGTATTCAGTCTTGCTCCTGCTCAACTTGAAACTTTTTGACTCCAATGTCTGTCACCAAACCTCCAATGTCGCATTCACCCCAACTCGAGTCTCGTTAATCAATACAATGTCATCTGCAAACAAAATACACCATGACACCTCTCCTTGAATGTGACGTGTCAATACGTCCGCCAAGGCAAATAAAAATGGGCTAAGGGCTAATCCTTGGTGTAACCCCATCACAACATGATAGTGTTCCGGGTCTCCTCCCACTGTCCTCACTCGGGTTTTAGCTCCATCATACGTGTCCTTTATCACCTTAGTATAAGTCACTGGAATACCTCTAGCCTCTAAACATCTCCATAGGACCTCCCTTGAGACTTTATTGTATACTTTTTCTAGGTCAATGAATACCATATACAAGTCCCTCTTCCTCTCCCTATACTCCTAATAAGGTGAATGGCTTCCATAGTTGAACGCCCCGACATGAATCTCGGAAATAAGACAGTCCTGCTCAGCTTCACTTTCGCCACCCTCTCCCAAACTTTCATAGTATGGCTTAGTAGGTTGATACCCCTGTAATTACTGCTGGTATGAAATAAAATGATATCTGTAATTGATCCAGTAGTGGGATTCACTACTGGACCCATGACATACCGGGAAAGTTGATGAGAAAAAGGACTATTCTATGACTACCTTTTGTCACGCATTTCTTGTATGAAAGCTTCCAGTGTGATGATCAAATTATGATGATGTAATCACATCCGAGGTTCTCGTTAACTATTTTTCAGCTACCCGACTTATTCCCGTAATATTGCAACAACAACAACAACAACAACAATCCAGTATAATCCCACTTAGTGGGGTCTGGGGAGGGTAGTGTGTACGCAGACCTTACCCCTACCCTAGGGTAGAGAGACTGTTTCCAAATAGACCCCCGGCATCCTTCCCTCCAAGAACATCCCACCTTGCTCTTGGGGAGACTCGAACTCACAACCTCTCGGTTGGAAGTGGGGGTTGCTTACCATCAGAGCAACCCCTCTTGTCTATATCAGAGCAACATAGACAATATTCCCGTAATATTGGTGATCTCATATTTGCTGATTTTGAAGAAATCTATCATGCACAATTCTTCTTGTAAGCTATTTTCCATCAATTTTCAAGCTTTCTCGCAGAGAGATGTAAGCAGTACATATTCCTCCGTCAAATATCTGAACTGCTTAATGTCTATGTTGGTTATGGGTTATCTTTCTAGCCTACCTTTATACTCTTTGATATTATTAGTGAATGGTTTTCATATTTGACTACAGTTCAATGATCTCCAAGAATGTTACTTGCAAAAGAGACGTCTATTGGCGAACAAATCGCATGTTAAGGAGGAAAAGGACATAGATGACGTAAAAAGAGAAGGTTACAGTGCAGGGCTAGAAGATTTCCAGTCTGTACTTAGCACTTTCACTCGTTATAGGTATAATTTATGGTCTGTTATTCGCTGAACATGCTTGACTTTAATTTCTTGCACCTTTTTTTATTTCTTTTGTGATAATTTTTAGTTTTAATCTTTAACAGTCGGTTAAGAGTCATTGCTGAGCTTCGGCATGGGGATCTTTTTCACTCAGCCAATATCGTGTCAAGGCAAGTTTGGTTTTGTGTATAATTGAAGGCTTAAAGTTCTCCTTTTACTGGTTTCCACGCTGTCAGATTTATATGGATATTAGATATTAAAGAGGAGAACCAGGGTTGTGGTTGTGGCAGATAGATTTTATCCAGAATGGGAAAATGGCTTCGCTGGAGGACCGATTTTGCTTTGTGTCATGAATGTTGTATTTTCAGTAAATTTCAGACTTGAAATTACAATCAGAGACACACAACAAAAGAAAAAAGAATCAGGAAATTGTCTTATTAGCCATCCCATTTATTTGGTTCTCTTATCAGTTCGGCTCTGGTATGCAAATCTTATTCCAAATACTAAACTTGAAGATGTTTTTGTTGCAGCATCGAATTTGATCGTGATGATGAGTTGTTTGCTACTGCTGGAGTTTCACGGCGCATAAAAGTTTTTGACTTCTCTTCGGTGAGTTTTTAACTTTTTAGCTGGTTTTATCTCTTGATTCCATTGGGTGCAATGACATTACTGAATGACATATCATGGGTCAACTTCTATTGTTTATTGTGCAAATGAGGAAGTGCAAAAGCTATTTTATTCTGAAATTATTTTTCACCTTATGATTATTCATAAAAAAAATAGCCCGAGCCGACCTGCATTTTGGTTGTTCAAACTCAACTTCAGTATTAATGAGTGCTTCGGTTCAAATTCCAAATGAGCTTGAAAGCAAGCTCCCGCACAACAACTGTGCCTCAATCCCAAACAAGTTGGTGAAAGCAAGCTCAAGCACGACTCACATAAATTTAGTGAAACTTGAACTTGGCTCAACTTGTGTGACAAACTAAACAAGATGATACATCGAGTTTGAACTCGAACCTCAATTCAAGCTCAAATTATGTTTATATTAATAACACTTTATAAAAGTAATAATATAATATGTGCAGATTTAGAATTAAATCGGGTGATAATGTCTTTTCGCACTAATATAGATATATTTAAGTAAATAATTATTTAAAGTAAATCGTCCATGAATATAAAAGAGCAGACCTCAAGTTTGTAGGAGCTCAGCTCCTTAACGTTTAGCTCAAAGTTTAAAGAAGCTCAGAGACTAAGAGTTGAGCTTTGTTCACAAATAGTATTGGTTCATTTACAACTCGAACATTCAATACCTTGCTGGCATACATAATGCTTAATGGTATGGGGATGTGTGTCAATACGGAACCTTCCACAGGGAATGAAATGTTTTTCTCTGTGAAGTTCACCTTCTTTCTGGAATATTGTTTTCCTTGTTTGTTGCTGCAAATTTGGATGGCAACAAGTTCCTGGTTGCAGACAGCACATCGCCTGGTTTGTGCATAGTGGATCTATTAAATTTCTTATATGTTCTTAAAACACACTGGAGTGGTGCTTAGATAGGAGAACAACACCTGACTGTTGCAGCTAATTTTGTTTCCATTAATATTTACGTAAATGACCATGAGTACTATTTAGCTTCTTCTTATAACGCAACCTACATATTGGCCATTTAAGGATATAGTTAACCTTTTCCTTTCCATGATAGTATTTTTATTTGTGTTTTTTTTTTGGTGGACATATTATGGCAGAGCTCTCCTTTTGCGTATTTCTCTCAACTTACTTCTCCTAGTTAGTAGTTACTGATCTAGCCTGTTATGCTTCTGCTTTTCAGGTTGTAAATGAACCTGCAGATGTGCATTGCCCTGTTGTCGAAATGTCAACTCGTTCTAAGCTGAGCTGCTTGAGCTGGAATAAGTATACCAAGAACCACATAGCAAGTAGCGATTATGATGGAATAGTAACTGTATGGGATGTGACCACTAGACAGGTGAATCAGCACTTCTGATAATCAGTATTAACTGTTGACTTTTTCATCTTCCTATGACTGATACTGATCCCTTTCTGGTGTTCAGAGTGTGATGGAATATGAAGAGCATGAGAAACGGGCATGGAGTGTTGATTTTTCACGCACAGACCCCTCGATGCTTGTATCTGGCAGTGATGATTGTAAGGTAGTAAAGGATTACTTCTCACTTGTCAAACACAAGTCTTAACCTTTTTAGGTTGGTAATACTCAGGCCTATATGATGTGACAAATCAATAGAAATTAATGACACCACTGAAGCAAAAGAGAATGCATGACTCATTTACTAAGTAAATATAAGTCTTGGAATCATCCTTTAATAATGTTTGATAAACCATTCCTACGTTGTCTTCTGATCCATTTCTGTGCTATGTTCAATAACATACGAGCTTGCTTCTGGTTAGAGAAATGCTGATGTAAATGCTACCAACGGTGTCTTATATTCCATCAGTCGATCTTAATAGAGGCCCAAGTATCATCCGCGTAGGAGAAGGACCTTATACTGCCTACCTGACCTAAATTTTCTCTTTTCATAGTTTACTACTGTATCCTTCTCCAGTTATCGTTCCAACAGTACTGCTCCTATTTTCAATGGCCGTCTCAGTGGCATACTCCCTAGACCATCTCAGTAACACTTCTATCCGTGATTCTACTTTCCATTATTACAGTCACTTTCCAAGCAATACTATTCCGGTGAGAAGCTGTTGTTCAAATTGACATCGTGAGACCAGGGCAATGTGGAGAAGCTGGTAAATGCTATCAACATTGATGATACAATTTTGGGTGATTTTGACAGTTCACTACTCCAGAGGCACTGCTGAGGCAGCCTTGTTACTACCTCTGCGACCATTCACTAGTTTGTTGTTTTTTCAAATAAGCAAATTCAAGTTGGTTTTCCCATGTCCAGTGTGAGGGAGCGTGATGAAATGAGAAATAGAATGTCACTTTATTCAGTTATATTACTTCACGGTGAACAAATATAACATATGTATTGTATCCTATGTTGCTTGGATTCTTCGAAAATGTGGCAGGATACGTGTTGGATCCTCCAATAGTAGTTCATTTTTGAAGGATCCGACACGGGTGCGGCTACATTTCGGAGAGTCCGCGCAACATAGATTGTATCTTAGTATGTCCTACATTGGTTGAAGAAATGGACTGTAGTCTTTTATATAGTTTTGGACAACCCTTACCATATGAGTTAGCTGTTGAGGTTGAGTTGGGCCCAAGGTACTTTCTTAAAATCATATCAAAGCTAGACCTGGACCTGTTGTTCTGTTACCTAATGTTGGGCCATGTTAAATCCACGTGCCCAGATGTCTAGTTGTGGGTGGGCAGAGGGTGTTAGAATTGCCACATTGGTTGAGGGAGTGGACTGTATTCTCTTTATATGGTCTTTGACAATCCTCACTTCATGAGTTAATTTTTGAGGTTGAATTAGGCGCAGGGTCCACTTTCTTAACATACCTCACACCTTTAATTAGTTATGTCATATAAGCCACTTCTCTTCTCTTATTGCTCGCAGTAGTAACATTGTTTATCTTGTAAATAGTTAAGTGACCTAAGTATTTTATATAGATAACCCAGCAAAGAAAAATGTTATATAGATAATTAATCAGGTCTTCGCAATTGTTAGAAATGCCTAAGCAATGAAAGCGTTGATCTAGAGACCGAAAATCACAAAGAGTCGATCGTTTTACATCTTCTGATTGTTTCCTGGCATCAAGTCAGAACCTTGTCGAGAAGTCTATGGTGCCGGCTGCCAGTGGGCATAGTTCGCAAGTTAAATACCTTCTCTCAGTCCCCAAGATTCTAGTAGGTAAGTTAGCTTGGTGTGTTAGCTATTTGCTCCTCTACAAAATATTAGTACTTCAACTTTAAGAAGATTATGGACGAATGTCTTGAGAATTCTCTGTGATTGTTTCCCTTCTTTTGAATCACATTGTTCCCGTAGGCGACTAGTCACTATACTAGTAAAACGATGTAAGCAAAATTCTTGGTTCATATCAATGAGTTTCTCTTGTTAAGTCACTGCTAGTGAAATCTCAGCTACAGCAGAAGTCTGCTTCCTAAGCCCCAATCTTTGTTTTCTCCTTTCTCTTCTCTTCTTTTTTCTTCTTCCCTAACTTTGTAATGAAGTCAGGTACCACAGATATTTGCGAGCGTCATATACAACTTCTAAAAGGCACTGAAATCTTACTAATATTTACCAGCAAATCTTTTCCTTGCTAGCTAAACTAAAGGATCTTGAGCATCTTTCTCCTTTACTACAGTAATATAAAATGTATGCTTATCGTTGGAAAAGATATTGTTTAGGTGCTCAGGGTTCTTACTGCTGGTCTTCTAATTGGAGGCCACAAAGCGTGAAATATCCTACTATTAAATGTGGCACATTTGTCTCATCTAAACACCTTAGACTTAAAATTGAACTTTCAGTTTTTCATCACGTGTCTAAGTTTTGGTCCATTAGTTCATATGGAAGAAAGTCCCTGGGCATATTAACCCTTTATAGTATTTTTTGATGTTTTGGCACAAATTATCCTTATTGCTTTCTGATAGTTTATTATACAGTCATGTTTTTCACTTTCCGAGCCAATAACAATAATGCTTCTATTTCCCTAACTTAGGTTTGCATCATCATTCTATGCTGCTGCAGGTCAAAGTTTGGTGCACTAAGCAGGAAGCAAGTGTTCTTAATATTGACATGAAGGCGAATATATGCTGTGTAAAATATAATCCTGGATCTGGTGTGCATATAGCGGTAAATTCCTTATTTTATATAGAGGTCTCTTCTATTCCTTATATCTCCAGTTCTCCACTGCTGGTGAATTCCTTTTTATGATGTGGTACCTCCGCTGTTAGGGAGGTGGGTTCACATTGAAGAAGTATCTTGAAAAGTTTTTGTTGCTGGCGATATGCCTGACTTTGTGAAAGAGCTGCGGAGTATTCAGTACTAGGATCCTTGCCAAGCCAGTTCACTTACTTACTGATTCTTTTTTATAAAAGTTTTGCTTCATCTGAGAAGAGATGCTAGCTGGTCTATTGGATCTAGTGGAACAAAAATACAAAAAGCACCTTGAACTATCTTCATTGTGAATGAGCTCTGTGTTACATAATGGAACCATTTTCAAATTATTTTTCACGTGCTTTTGGCTTGGAACTCTAATTGCTTTCATTCATTTGAAAGACCGTGACTGATGTTATGGCTAAAATGCAATTAATGAAGTATCTTGATTAAAAAAATTAATGCAATAACTGAACAATCAACTGCTCATACATGCATGTGTTTACTCTCCTGGCTCTGTTGGGTTGATCTCCATGATGTGTTTTTGCCGTAATCATGCCATTGTCAAATTTGTTTTGCAGTTAGACATGGATAATGTTCCATATGTTCCTTTAGCTATGCAGACTCCATGTTTCATTATGATAGATAACTTCGTTTGTGTGCGAACATTCTAGATTCTTCATTATATGTTCCTTAAAAATTTCTGGATTTGGAGCATCAATTTCTCATATAGTTCAGTCCGTGTTTCAACTCCCCCTCCCCNCGTAAAATTTTTGTCCAACAATGAGCTTGCTTCAGCATCAACAGATAGTACACTACGGTTGTGGGATGTAAAAGAAAATCTGCCTGTAAGATATTTTTTAAATTTTACTATCCCTCATTGAAGAAATTTTCCTGCCACCAACCATTTGCTATGGTTGGTGAGATGCTTTTTTGGTCTTTCAATTCTCTTTGTTCTTTGACCGAAGGCAAAAGTTATTCACGGCTATTAACACTGCTTGAGTGATTTCCAGATTCGCACACTTAGAGGACATACAAACGAGAAAAACTTTGTTGGTCTCACAGTAAACAATGAATTCCTCGCTTGTGGCAGTGAAACAAATGAAGTATTTGTGTACCATAAGGTCAGTGAAAATTTGTAATCTTTGCTGAAGTGCTCACAGTATTTGATTTAACTAATGTGTTGGAATTTATAGGCGATCTCCAAACCTGTTACTTGGCATAGATTTGGTTCCCCAGATGTGGATGATGCCGATGAAGACGCAGGATCTTATTTCATTAGCGCGGTATGTTGGAAGAGTGATAGCCCTACGATGTTAGCCGCTAACAGCCAGGGAACTATAAAAGTGCTAGTCCTTGCAGCCTGAATTATAAAGCTGCTAGTTAAGAATGCTTGATTGAACTGCAGTTGAAATCTATTTAGTAGAAATGGATTTCACATTCAATTTTTTCTGTAGATATCTATTCAACAACCATCAGATGGCATGGTTCCCCATATTTGTCTATGTATTCACATTAAAACATGTAAAAAGTTGTGGGGTTTGGTAATTAGGAGGATGTACTGCTCTTAAATGGCAGAGGCAGAGTTATACATCAATGACTTTTGTCATTGAAATCATAATTCATATCTTTAATTCCTTGACAAATGATCATTCGGGGTGATTTACATTTGGAGCACTTTCAGGTGAGCTACTTCAGACAAGCAAATGTACACTCTTTTATTTCACAGTTGGATCTTTGTATAGCTAATGGACACATGCCAAAAAGACAACAAAGATTGGCATTTTCATTCAGTATGCTGTTTTACAAAGACTACACACACAGAGAAACAAACATAGAGAGAATTTGTTTTACAATATAAAAATAGAAATGATACACCACAACCTTTAGAGAAGGGTTAATGCGGAAAATAGAAAGAAGCTCAGGAGGGATAGAAAAGAAATAAGGACTCTAAGTAACCTTGCAAGCTTTAGGGGTATATAGCAGGTCTCGGACTTGCAAGGTCAAGAAAACTCGAGCCATTTCTCCAGTTTTCTAAGAGACGAGAAACAAATGTAAGAAGAATAAGCTCAGGAAGGATAACACCGCTGCATGGATTAAGATGATAATTGATGCATCGTTTCATCGCTTTCACATGGTTGAACCATGACTCCGAGCACCATTTCTTCTTGGTCCAGTACAGCCATGGGTGTGAGCGGATAACCAAAAAATGCAGAAAAGTTGAGGAACATCATGTTCCTCTTTCAGTTTACCTTACTTGGAAGATGGTATCATAAGAAATGTGAAAGTGGAGTCGGTATTTATAGACAGAATGAATCTTTGGTTTTGATAAGAAGAAAGTATAATTGGGCGTTCAAATAAATTGAGTGGTTGATGTGTCATATTCTGTATAAGAAGAGACAAAATGTTCTACCAAAAGAACATACCTATTGTATTATGCTCTTTCTTCAAGTTATGACAAAATGGACAGTAATGCCAAGACTATAATTAATGCGTTTAGAAGCATTAGTGGGTTTGAAATTTATAGATTCTTCAAGTTAATATAAAATAATAATTGAACTTACAATTAAATATTTATAGATATTTAACGAATTTTCTTAAAATATTTACGAAATTTAGGGAAAAACTATTAAGTTCGAACTTATATGTTGGATGGTAGATTCACACTCCATAGTTTAAGAAAAATTTATCATCCGAAAAGAGGAAAAACGGAGTCGTTGTCAAAAGTACCTCTATGTAGAAGTTTCAAATATGTGTTTGACTCATATAGTGCAAAAATTATCCCTCAAATTGTATAAGATAGGAGTATCATTTATTATTATGTTTATAACTTAATTTTTTTTCTGATCGTTCTACTTTGTCGATTGATGGAAAGATTAAAAATAGAGTTTAAATTAAGTGTCCATTATTAAATCTGGGAGTTTTTACTTTAAATTCTTTTCCACTACATAAAATGCAAAGACATAAGATGACAACTTGACTAAAAAACATACTGTATATCTTTTCAAGGTATAAGTGAAGTGAAACTTTTTAATGTAATTCGGAAGGTTCAAAGAATGGAGTTGACTAAGAAAGTTGTTTCTTCCAAATTAGTGAATGCTAATAATAATTGGGTCAACAATCACTTTAAGAAGCTAAACAAACATTGTACCTCCTTTCACCTTTCTTTCTATTTTTTCACCACTACTCTTCAAGCTTAGCTCTAGCCTTTTTTATCTTTTTCTTTTTCACTTTAAGGCATATAATATATTATTACATTCATCTTAGCCTTTGCCACAATTATTAAGCATTAGTTTACACAATAAATTTGACTGTGCACAGCCAAAGACTACGAGGAAGTTCTTCCACTAATACAAGTTCGGAGAAGGGCCGCACCCAAGGGGTGTAATGCAGATAGGTTACCCTAATATAAGTATTAGTGGTTGCTTTAACAGATCGAACTCATAACCTATAGGTCACAGAGATAACTTTACCGCTGCTCTAAGATTCACCTTCAAACAGTAAAAACAACAATAAATGAATAGCTATATATATATTTGCTTCATATAAATTGGGATTGACTATATGAATCTTTACTGATAGTTTCTTCATTTAAATTAATCTAAGAATGATGAAACCAGCACCACGTGAAACAATTCACTAATTAAGTTCCATTTTTTAAATTTATTTTCTAAAATTCAGAATGGGTTCGTGAAGAGTGGAGAAATGAAAGATTGAATTCTGTATGAACTAGAGTACCTAAGAGCATCTCCAACGCTATGCAGTCAGTTTTGCCAAATTGCGACTCCAATGCTCCCCATTTTTGGCTGCAAAATGGGGGATGAATAGTGTTACTCTAAATTTGGAGTGAAACTATTCATCCTTACTTTATTATTATTATTTTTATTATTTAACTCTTTATATATACCTAATTATGTTTATGTAATATCTTTATAATATTAATTTTACATCTTAACTTTGGCATATAATTTTGATAAATTAATTTTTGTGCATTTATTATTTTTATGTAAAATTGTAAGTTAATTATCTTGTATCTCAATGATTTCACTTTTATTTGAATTATCCATTAATATATATAATCTATAATTTTCTTACAAATTATATGTGATGAATACATAAAAAAGAAAAAAAAGATAGAATTTCTTTAATAGAAATAAGAAAATACAATTTAAATAAAAGATAATAATATAATATTAAAGAGAGAAAAATATAAAATGGAATATGTTTTTTTTGGATTAAAAACTGAAGTAATGATTGATGTAATTCTAGAAAATGGAGGCGAATGGCCTGAGTGACACAAAATAATTATTGCAACCACTTGACTAAGACAAATTTTGATTTTTGAATGCACTTTTCTCAAAAAGATTTCACTTTTCATTTTAAAATTAAAGTACGTAGTTTGAGTGCTAATTGTGGCAGAAACTAGGATAATATGAACATAACTACCAATTTTAAATATTATTTGTACAGACAAAAAGAATAAATGTGGAGTGAAACAGGGTCTTTTTATTATAGAAATCAAACAGTACTCCAAAATCCAAAAAATGGCAAAAAGTTAGAAGTAAAGAAGAAGGAGAAGGTGCGCATTAAATTCATATTTTGTCGAGATTTTGACCATTAAATAAAGAGGACAGAAGAATGAAAGTGACATAACATAAACAATACCCCAAAAGAAAAAGAAAATCACCAAAATAGTGATTCAGTTCAATGTTTGACCATTCTTTACTTCATTTCCAAAAAAATCATTTAGTATTTCTGATTTCCTCAGAAGATTCAATAGTATCTGTGCCCTCTCCTAATTCCTATGTTTTAATTGCAACAGTTTTTGCAAAACTGTCCATTTTGCAGTCTATCATTATAATGGGAAATTTTGCATTGTTATGTCATTCTCATATGGTCCTTATATTTAATGCCTTTCTGGACTATGCTACCCTATACGAATTCACCTTAATCTTCTCTATCTTCACTCTGTTAAATAATAATTGATGCACACCATTTATAACAGAATAATACAAATGCTTCCGAAGAAATGATAGTAACTTCATTAAAAATATGAAATTTTATTTCCTATAATAAACTATTACACTCTATTTATTATAAATCAAAATATTATTGCTTATATCTACCTTTTCTATTCTATAGCAACATAGATATTTATTTTATACAGTACCGTTGAGACATGAAATACAACAATTATGTTCTTTCTCTCTCTACCAGCAAGATTCTCGATCCTTTCTCTTCTCCCTCAAACATAATATGGCCTTTTTGACATCTCGGAATCGGTTTGTTGTTAAACTTACCCAACTTCTAGACTAGAAGAAAAAGTAATATTAGCGCTGCTACTTTTGCGCTACGTTCTCATATCAACATTCTCCATCAACTCGCATCCAGGCGGCTCGCTGACTGCTGGCGAACAGATCTAGCCATGGCTATACCGGAGAGGATTTCAGAGCCGGGTTTTTGTTCATCTCTATTTTTAGTTTTAATACAATGTATACAGTTGTTTGCTTGGCCGGAAAACGCCATCTTCTACGAACTTTCTTCTCTTCTTTGCTATTTAGTCACATACAATGATACAAATACATTGTATTATGTACAAATACAGTCAAATACATTATATTTTTGTATAAATACATTGTTTTTTTCGTCTGTATATGTATTCCGAAGGTCTGTATTTTTTAATACAACCGAATATCACTGTGTTTTCTGATATTTTGTTGTTTGAATACAGTCGAATTGAATACGGTGAATTGAATACAATGTATAATAGTGAATAATGAATATCTTGATTACCTCTATTTCTTGATTACTTCACTGTATTTATAAATACAGTCGTGCGAATACATAAAATGTAACACAGTAGCAACGAAGTTTATGTATAATTGATTTTGTTGAGTTAAATTAGGAGTAATACACACTAATTGATCCTCTCCGTTATTAAACAGCTGTACTCCCTTATTTTTAGGCGATACAGTAGCGCGAATATAGCATACACAGTCGCACAATTGGACTCCCCTATTTTTAGGCGAATTTTGCTACTATATTCATGAATACAGTAGCGCGAATACAACGAATACAATCGCATAACAACTAAATAGTAGCTATAGAGAGTAATTTTGTATATGATAATTATCGGAAGTTAATATATAGCCACTTGATGTTCGGCGATAACTCCATATTTTTAGTGCATTACTTACCTTATATTTTGGTGCTTTAATGCTAAATTATACTATATTTGTGCTTAATTGAGTTTATTTTATGTGTAGGTACGTTGAAAACGAAATTGGGAACAAAGTAGAAATTTTATATGTATTTTATACACTACAAGAATGAATTTATGATTATTTAATTAGTGGGTATTTACTTACAAAGGAAGACAAAATAAATCACAAGAGGAAAAAAAAAGAACAATGGAAAAAGACAACAATTGAATTGAAAGGAATGGAGAGTTAGGCAAAGAAATATGCAAATCAGAATGAAGAATTGAAGCAGCACACAAATGTAAACGCAGCAGAAGCAAAAGCAGGCGACGCGACATTTGCATCCTCGCGTTTGAGCTTGCGAGGCGAGGTACTTAGCTCGCGACAGAGCTGGCGTCGCACAGTGTATAGCGAGGTGAAACTCGCGTTTTGCCTCGCGAGGGTGTTCCGGGTTTTAAAAGTCTATTTTGTCTCCTATTTGATTTTGGACTTGGATATTTTGTATGAGTCTTTTCCCTACACGTATAAATAGTCATTAAGCATCATTTTTAGAGGAGTTTTTGCGATCGGAGGTAAGAACATCACGTGGACAA